ATTCAGAAAGCTGAGATTTGAGAATCACAGTGTGAGACTTTTTTTTTTTTTGTCGGTCATAGGGTTTGAACTCTGGGCCTGGGCACTGTCCCTCAGCTCTTCAGCTCAAGGCTAGCACTGTACCACTTGAGCCACAGTGCCACTTCTGGTTTTCTGGTGGTTTATTGGAGATAAGAGTCTCACAGACTTTCATGCCTGGGCTGGTTTTGAACCACAATCCTCAGATCTCAGGCTCCTGAGTAGCTAGGATTATAGGTGTGAGCCACCGGCACCCAGCACAATATGAGACTTCTATCTCTAATGAACCACCAAAAAAGTGGAAAGTGGTGGAACCTAGCCTTGAGCAACAAAGCAAAGAGACAGTATTCAGGCCCTGAGTTCAAGTTTTAGTAATGGAACACACACACAAACATGAAGGTCATCATTTCTAATAATCCCTCACATGGTTTATCATTATGTGTAATCAGGGGTGAGAACCTGGACTGGACTAGAAAATTCTTGAATGTCTTAGCCAGATTCATAAGGCCTTTCATGATGTTAGATATCTTATTTTCTACTACTTCTCCTTCCAACTCCATGATAAATGATCATAACTTCCTTTGACCTTTCTACAGTTACCTATCATTCCTTTGTTTTATGCCAGAAACTCCATCAGAAATATGCCCAAAATATACATACTATTAAAAGGAATGTCCCAAGTACCATACCATACTATTCCCCAGCTTGGGTGGTGGTGTAGTGATTTTTCAGACTTTCCAGAACAAGCTGATGCTTCCTTGTATCTCTTCTCCCTTTTCCTCCCTTATTCCCCCCCCCCCCCCAAACCCCAGCACTCAACTGGAAGTCCTTGGACTACCATAATCAAAATGATATAGTGTCTGAGTTTTATGAAATATCATGTCTTTATGGTTCCAACCAGGCTTTCCTAATCTGCCTTGGAGAAATCTGCCTTCTCCGCTGCTGTTCCACACGCACCCTCTCCAATGGCCAGCACTACTGGTAGTCAGGAGAATGCTTAATTTAAAGAGGACTCTTACGACTTGCACCTCTCTGGAATCAGCAAGATGCTCTATGGGCCACAGAGGCAGAGAGTTAGCACTTCTCTGCGTTTCGGATGCTGCCAGGGAGGCTTCTGCCCCTCGTAATGGGGCTTTACCTCTGGCCCTGTGCTTGCCTAGGTGGGTGCTCTTACTACTGAGCCATGCCACCAGAACTATTTTCTGCTGATAGCTTTTAAGATAGGGTCTCCCTTCATACCCAGGTGTATGCCTGGGTGTGATCACCTGCCTCACCATAGTTAACAGGTACACATTACTATGTTCAGACCTCCCTCAGAACTTTTCTGCCTAGACTGGCTTTGAACCCTGATCTTCCAATTTCAGCCTCTCCAGTAGCTTAGATTGAAAATGTCAGCCACCAGCTGCCCCATTATTATTTTACTTAACTTTTTTTTAAATGTGCAACAATAGAGCTTGAATTTAAGGCCTCTCACTTAGCTTTTTCTAAAAGCTCATCATTGGTGTTCTACCATTTGAGCCATGCCTCCCATCTAGCATTTTACTGGTTATTTAGAGATGGAGTCACACAAACATTTCCGCTCTGCCGGCCTCAAACTGGGATCCTTAGATCTCAGCCTCCTAAGTAGCCTGGGTTACAGGCATAAGCCACTATGTAGCCAGGATACATAAGCCAGTAGCATCCAGCTGGCTAATTCTCATTAAAGCATTTTATTTTGTTTTTAGCACTCTAGGGGAAAATCCATAATCTGAATAAATTTGATTTTAGAATAATTTGCTTGCTACCTTAATCATTTTCCAGTCCCTTCCTCCCCTCTGTAGTGCATCCTCATTTTTTTGGTCATTTTAATTCTCAATACCACTAGGAAAAAGAAGGGCAATAAGTAGAAAAAATACTGCAAATTTTTTATTGTTACTGAGTTTTTTGTTGGATTTTTTTTTTGGTGTTGTTACTGGGGCTTGAAATCAAGTTTTCATGTTCTCACTTGGCTTTTTTGCTCAAGGCTGGCACTTTACCACTTAAACCATACCTCTGCTTCCAGCTTTTTGATGGTTAACTGGCAATAAGAGTTTCAGGAACTTTTCTGAGTTGACCTCAAACCACGATCCTCGTAAGTAGCTAGGATTACAGGCATGAGCCACTGGAGCCTGACTGCCTGCTGAGCCTATACTGAGTCACTGAAATATTTGATTGAGACTTGAAGATTTAAACAGTGTGGTTGGGTCTAATCTTCATAGAAAACAAAACCGAACCAGTTCTTCTCTGGACAAGGGAGAAAATTCTTACATTTTTTAATAGTATCTACTCTTCTCAGCCTGGGCTGTTTCCCAAACACTATGTCCAATCTAGCAGAGCACCTTACATCTTTTTGTTGTTGTTTAAAAGTAAGGACAAGGCCTGTAGGCTAGTTTCTAAGACCACCCCCCCCTTTTTTTAAAGAAAGATTTTAATTTTCTCAAATCTTAACATTAGAAGAAATCATAATCAATAATGATTCCATCTGAATTCTGTTACTTCTGAGCCAAGTCAAGCCAACTGAGTAGCTACCTAAGAATAAGGAATATTCCCTCTGCTCCCTGGAAGGAAGATCTGTGTTTGCTTCTATCAAATCAGACTCTGAACTTGAACTCCATGAAAGCTCAGATAAAAGAAAGGGGAAAGGAGGCTTGAAAGTATACGCTCCCATTCATGAGGGGCGTGTATGTGTGTGTTTTGAGTTTCCAAGTAACTGAATAGTGGGACTGTGCATTTTCCATCCCCAGGAATAATTACCTTCCTGGCTTCTCGATGAATAATGCATTATTTCTGAAACCCAAGAGGCATCCTTTGATTTTCCTTTTCTATTTAGCTTTCTGAGCGATTTTCAATAAAGGAAATTCAAGGACTTTGGAATGAATGCTGTATTAACATTTTTATTGAAGTTCAGATAGCGCCTTGGCTATTATCTCCTGATATTTGGAATATTATTATTTTTTCTCTCTAAGGAGAGTCTAAGGTGTTGCATTTATTAGAAAATGAAACACATTGGACAGTCTTCAAAGTGAACAGCAGTTTAAAACTAATATACACTGGTGTTACAGAACAAAGAGATTTATGGAGGCATTTTCCCTCTCCTCACTTTATTTTCATTTCCCTGCTGAAAGGGCTTTAAAAAAGGAAAGCTCATATTCAAAACTGGACCGTTTGGGGATGAAATCTCATTTGTTGACATTTTGTGAAACTCATCCCTTGGGGCTAGTCCAAGGCCAGTTTATGCCAGGACTACCATTTAAATCTAAAGATTCAAAGTTACTTCTGGGGTCACTCTTACCACTCCTTTGCTCATTGTGTATCCTGATCGTCCATGCAGGCTCCATTAGGTTGTTGAAATGCACACAAGAGACCCACGGATCCCATTAGCTCACATCCCTTTAGTTGAGAATCCCCAGCAGACCCTAAGGGAGCAAACACAGTAATAAGTTTAATACACCTTACAACTTTCACTTTCCATAAAACCCAAATGAGAAGCCACTTCAGAAATGAAATTGAATTAAGAATAGAATCTATATCTCTCTTCCTTCTAAAATTACAGTCAAATCTTAGTCCAGTGCCAGTGGCTCACACATACAATCCTAGCTACTCAAGAGGCTGAGATGTGAGTATCAAGTTTCAAAGGCCAGCCCAGATAAGAAAGTTCATGAGACTCCTATTTCCAATTAACCAGCAAAAAAGCTAGAAATGGAGCTGTGGCTCAAGTAATAGAATGCTGGCTTTGAGTGAAAAAGCTCAGGAACAGCACCCTGAGTTCAAGCTCCAGTATTAACAACAACAACAACAACAACAAAGCCTAAACAAATCAAAAACAAAATCCCTCTGCTTTTCCCCAATAGATCATGCTACAGAGCAGATCATAACAATATTGTTATTGTTACTATTACTATCTAGGTGAGTTTTTTTTCCCCTAAATTCACTTAATCCTTACAACTAACTTCATGAGGTGAATGTAATCATGTCCATTTTTCAGATGAGAAAACTGGGGTTAAAAAAAAGGTAATTAGGAGCTGGGCGCTGGTGGCTCACGCCTGTAATCCTAGCTACTCAGGAGGCTGAGATCTGAGGATCGTGGTTCAAAGCCAGCCCGGGCAGGAAAGACCATGAGACTCCTATCTCCAATAAACCACTAGAAAACTGGAAGTGGCGCTGTAGCTCAAGTGGTAGAGCGCTCGCCTTGAGCTGAAGAGCTGAGGGACAGCGCCCAGGCCCAGAGTTCAAGCCCCACGACCGACAAAAAAAAAAAAAAAGGTAATTAGGGATTTGAGCCATGACAAACTGAAACTACAAACTGTGCCTTAGCTATCAAATGATATTTATTGTTTATCTTTTGCCTGAGCACTATATTTATGAGATTTTTTTGAAGAAAATGTATGAAGTGTATATTCAGAATGCACTTTTACATGTCTAAATTGCTTAGCAAACTCTTGTGATTTTTTCAACTAATAAATATTTGATTTTAGTAATGTCTGAATTGATGATTATTAATATTATATATAATATAATGTTATATCATTACTATCTTCAGCTTATTCTAGAAAAGGGATACTTTATTTACCATAATGGTATGTGGTTTGAAGTGCTAGGATTTTTTTGTTTTTGTTTTTGTTTTTGTTTGTGCCAGTCCTGGAGTTTGAACTCAATTCCTTGTTTCTGTCCCTTAGTTTTTAAATTTTTTCTCAAGGCTGGTGCTTTACCACTTGAGCCATAGCCCCACTTTTCGCTTTTTGGTGGTCAATTGGAGTTAAGAGTTCTATGGACTTTCCTACCTAGGCTGCTTTTGAACAATTCTCAGATCTCAGCCTGCTGAATAGCTGGTATTATAGGCATGAACCATTTCTAGGGGTTTTATAATAAACTGAAATCATTGCACTTTCTGGTTGCATATTTAATAATGATGCTTTTGCATTCTTTCTCTTTGAAATCCTTCCAAACCCTACCCTGTTGTTCAGGTGCCTTTATCATCTGCTGGACTCCGGGACTGGTGTTGTTACTGCTAGATGTATGCTGCCCACAGTGTGATGTTCTGGCCTATGAGAAATTCTTCCTCCTCCTGGCTGAATTCAACTCTGCCATGAACCCCATCATCTACTCCTACCGCGACAAGGAGATGAGCGCCACCTTCAGGCAGATCCTCTGCTGCCAGCGCAGTGAGAGCACCAATGGCCCTACCGAGGGCTCTGACCGCTCAGCATCCTCCCTCAACCACACCATCCTCGCTGGAGTCCATAGCAATGACCATTCTGTGGTTTAGGAAGAAAACTCAGATGAGAAGCTCGCTGACTTCGCTGGAGGCAGAGACCACCTACCTCTCCTCTACCTGCTTACTGGGCAAAGTGGGGAGAGGGAGTGGACAGAACAAAAGAAACTCGTGTACTTAAACACTAACCAATGGCAGTATTTGTTCCCAGGCCCCCAGGAGACTTGATAGATGGTGAGAATTAGGTTATGTGACCACCCTTGTCCCCAACCTTTTGAAAGTAGAAAGTGGGAGTTCTCGCCATGGAATTCAGAAATAAACTGGAGTGTCCAGTAAGATAGACTACACTAACTAACTAGACTTTAGAAGATCCTGTGTGATTTGGTGCAGGTCAGAAGAAATTCTGACCAATTGAGGCTACAACTTCTTTTTTACATACAGGTTTCCCTTTGGTTTTTATTTTTCAAGAATACATTTCCTTTAATAAACATGTGTATACCTTTTGGCAGGATTGTGATGGGTAAGACTATAGACTGTTAAGCTACCATGGTTTTCTTTTTGTCCTTGTATAAGAAAACTGTAAATTAGAATTATTATTATTTTTTGCCTAGAAAGCATGCATGTAATGTATGTATACAGTATGCTTTACTTAAAAAGATAAAAGAATACTAATTTTAAGATTTCTAGGACAGAGAAGTTCTAGTTATGAAAAATAGTCTTTGTTTAGGCTCTGAAAGAAATAATGCTTTAATCACAATATTACCTGTTTAAATTAAAGTGTTGTAACAAGTGTAAAGGGAATAGGGAATATGAACTTATCACCAAAAGATATACTCTAAAAAATCATAGAGGACAAAACACAGTAATATTGTTTCTACATATTTGAAACCCCAAGTATGTTCTTTTTGCTCATATGTGAGAGAAAAACTTTAATAGCCTGTGGTTTTCTGAGTTATGCAATAATACTTACTGTAGAAAACTTGAAGATTGCAGAGATATGTATAAAAAGTAAAAGATAATTACCAATAATATCACAACCCAGAAATAACCATCATTAGTGGTCTCCTTCCATGTATGCCTGTAAGCATATTATATACTTTCTTACATGATTGGGATAATGCTATAAACAACTTTATAACTAGTTTTTTATTACAGAATTGCCAGATTTTTTATGGTATTAAAATTTTTACAGAAATAATTTTAGTAGCTATGTCATATTCCATTTAATAGCTCCAACTCATTTCATTTAACCATTGCCATACAATTGACTCTTGAGGTTATTTCAAATTTTTACTGCTATAAAATTTCAAAAATATGTTGTATATGTAAAACATTGACCATAGAATCAATTACTTAGGTTGTATTCCCATGAAGGATTCTTTTTTAAATGTGAACTATCTTCTTATACCTGTACTTTTTATAAATAAGGATTTCCTACTTTTTAACTGCTTTGGTGGCAGTTGTGAGGAAAACCAGTTAAAATTCCTTTTTTTTTTTTTTTACAAAAGAAAGAAAGTGGTTACTTTAGTTGAGAGTGACTTTCTTTGAATATAACAGGATGGATTTGAAAGTCAACAGTCTCAGTTAACAGAACACTCTAGCCATTTCAATTTTTGTTTTGCAGGGAATGATCCCCACTTTTGGTAGCCACGACTGTAATGTAATATAATACAAAGAAATCAAACATGCCATGTGAATGAATGATCAATGAATTAATTAGCTAGGGGCTCTTCTCTAGCAAGGGGATGGCATGACTGGGTATGGGACTGGTTACCGTGTGTTCTCCAGAAACTGCCCACATGGGCGGCTGCCACATTAGGTGACATCTATGTAATAATGCATTGTCCAGGCAAACTCTGGAGTGTTTCAGTTTGTGGTAAAGAGAAACTAGAAAGTAATGCAGTCTTGAAGCAGGTATGGGGAAGTGAGGAGGAAGTCTCAGAGGAAGAACTGAAGAAGAATGGCCGTCTAGGAAGGAGGAAATCAGTGTGTGGCCGGCATTTGAATGGAAAGGGTTGCTTTGTAGAGCACTTCCAGGGATGAGAATGTGGGAACCCGTTGGCAGAAAGGTGTCTGCGTGAATGTTACACAAAACACAGAGCATTTTAGACTGGAAGTATAGGAAATGAACTTGGACCTTAACGGAGGTGCCTATTTTGATGGGGGAGCTGTGGACTATTTGAAATGAAAAGCATCCTAATTGGACTTAATAAATCATTCTCAATCTGTGTTTGCTAATGTGTGGTTCTAATCACTGCTGTTGCTCTTGTTTGAGAGCCTTCTGGCTTGCATTTTTTTGGTATTTTTCCTGGGTCACCTGCTTTTTATTTCTGCCACAAGATTGCTAAACTCTGAGGTGAAGAAAACACCTACCTTGCCATCCCTTTCCCTCCCCTTTCCTCTTCCCTTCATCCCAGATCTAGTCTGTTCAATCTAAGGCATCAATCTTAGGGCAATCAGTCCTTCTATGTCTAAGAGATGGTGGTGTCTGTCCCATAAAAGGAGAGATCATGTTTCTTCCCTCAACAGAATAACTATACAAGTGAGTTTATTTAAACAAGCAAAACAAAACAAAAAACACCTGGCTAGGTGTTGGTAGCTTACACCTGTAGTGCATTTTGGATACTATCTGACAGAAAACATGTGTATTACTTAGGGGCAAAATCTGTCATGAGTCTACCTAATGTCCATTCACATTCTAGCATTTATACACCGGGCTCATAATTTTCGTAATGTCCTATGCTTCATATTCACAGATTATTTGATAGTAATCAGTGTAATAGCTCTTAAAACAATGAAACAAGAATGCACACTCCAAGGCCCATTAGCCAAATCCTCCAAGTTTTATATGACCTAGGTTGGAGGTCAGGTTTTATATTTTAAAATGATTATGAACATATTTTGTGACATAAAGAATTCCATGGGATTCCGATTTCAGTGTCCATAAATATAATTGTATTAGAGTACAGCCATCTATTATTAGATGTGGTATTATGACTACATATATACATACAATAATGGCAGCATTCCGTAGTTACCATGGAGACTGCCTGGCTCTTGAAACCTGACATATTTTCTGTCTCCCCTGTAAAGAATAAAACCAGGAATGCCAAATTTTCAAGTCCTTCATTTAGAGGATTCCAGTTTCTAATTATACTAAATTCATTTATGAACATTCAAAAGAGACAAAGGGCAAATTTTTCACAAGATCCCATAATCCTTCAGAGACAATTCTCACTTGAATCTTTGTATTAGCGATGATGTTCAATTTGAAACCATATCAGACTTAACAGAACAGCTTACCAAATCATGAAATTCTGAATATGTTAAGCATTCATCAGCCCTTTGTAAGTATGCCCTACATAGTTCATAATTTCTAGAGAAGAAATCTCAATACAACTGTTTCAGTTAGGAAATTAACAGCAATATAGAATCTAACATTGAATCTAAGATCACATTCAAGTTTCACCAAGTTGTCCAATAACAGTCTTCAAAGCATAAGTCCCAGATCATATGTTTTCATCTCTTTGAGCCCTCTTTGATTTTTTTTTTTTTTTGTCATGGGGCCTGAACTCTGGGCCTGGGCACTGTCCCTCAGCTCTTCAGCTGTAGACTAGAGCTCTACCACTTGTGCCTCAGCCCCACTTTCGGCTTTCTCTGCTTATGTGGTGCTGAGGAATCAAACCAAGGGCCTCATGCATGCAAGGCAAGCACTCTACCACGGAGCCACCTTCCCAGCCTGCTCTCTTTGATTTTGATCAGTCTTTTAATCTTTTTTTTTTTTTTTTCAAATCTTACTACCATGTTGCATTTATGGTGGGAGCCACAGCTTCCAGAAATCACTAATTTAAATTGTTTTACTGCCCTTCCAACAACTATTTATACATGAGGAAATTGGAACTCAGAGGGAAAACTGTAAGTATAAAGAAGAAAATAAGACGTTAGAAACAAAGATAGATTACTAAGTTCTTTTAAGTGCAAGGTAAGTTACCAGCATTGTAAATGGATAGAATGAAAGTAGAAAAATGGTGCTATCTACTAAAATTATTCTTGGGTGAAAATGATAAGATCATAAGGAGTTGTAAATTGCTTCTATCACCATTATCATTTAACTGATCCATTTACAATGTCTTGAGAGATCATTACCAATGTACAACATTCTTATATTACTGTGAATATTGCAAGCAAGATCCTTGATGAAGACTAGGATTTAGTAATGTTGTCAGAAAAAAAATAGTTAAAAATAAAATTACTCAACTAGGCACTGGTGGGTCAGGCCTGTAATCCTAGCTATTCAGGAACCTAAGATCTGAGGATTGTGGTTTGAAGCCAACCAGGGTAGAAAAGTCCAGGAGACTCTTATCTCTAACCAGCAAAACATTGGAAGTGGAGCTCTGGGTCAAGTGGTAAAGTGATATCCTTCGGCAGAAAAAGCCAAGGGACAATGCCCAGACTTGAGTTCAGGCCTCAGCCCCAGCACAAAAAATTGATTTAAATTTAAAAAAATCATACTGAGCACCAGTGGCTTACACTTGTAATCCTAGCTACTCTGGAAGCTGAGATCTGAAGATCCCAGTTCAAAGCCAGCCAAAGTAGACAAAAAGGAGAGACTCTTATCTCTTAACCAGTAAGCTGGAAGTGGAGTTGTAGCTCCAGTGATAGAGCACCAGCCTTGAGTGAAAAAACTAAGCAAGTGTGCAAGGCTCTGAGTTCAAGGCTCAGTACTGACAGACAAAAGGAAAAAAATAATTACAAATTGTATTAAAAGTTAGGAAGACAATAATGTTATGACAGAGAAATTGAAAGACCAAAAGGATGGACGAAGGCAGCGAGAGGAACGACTTCAAAGGAGTAGTCAGGAAAGCTTATGTTAGAATGGGAACTGTCCCTCTGTAAACCTTTCATCTTGAGCTGGAATTGCACGGAGGTATGGTTTTGTCAAGCTTTTGAACTTGTACCCAATCTGGTAATTAGTTCACATCAAACAACCCATTAGAAAAAAAATGGGCATAGGTCTGATGTAAGCACATAGGAATTTCCAACAAGCTATGAAGAAGCTTACTGAAAGCAAGTCATTTGGGAAAGAAGCGTAAGTACAGGCTGTGCCAGGGAAGCTTGAAAGGCAGAAGAGCAGGCTTGATGACTAGAGTGATTTGGGAAGTCATTTTATCCTTAGAATGGTGAGGAATGAGTTAATGGATTTAAGTCAAGAAGCAGTCTGGTTTACATTTAAGAATAAAGAAGTCTAGATCAGAAGCTGCCACCTGAACTAAGATGAAAGATGGAGTGGAGGTGCAGAAAGATATGGTTGGATGGTGGATGGATGGATGGATAGCGAGGTATTTGGGAGCTGTTGATTGCTTGCATTAGGAGGTTTACCCAAGACATCATGAACTTGAACTCTGAATGCACGGGGGACGGAAATATGTTGAGATGAGCCTACCTTGATTAAGAGCAAGTATCCAGGAAAGAAAGAAGAATTTTGCACTAGGGAACTAACTGGCTAAGATGTGGGGCTCAGAAGGTATCTGTGGAGTAAAGAGTTACATTGGTGAAGTCTTTTGGTTGTTCAGTTTTCTGCCAACATTTTGCTGTTTTCTTCACAGAGTCTCTAGTCTACTTGACAGGAATGAAGTAAAAGGAAAACTAGAAGATAGACTTAATATCTGAATACACTTTCCAGAAATGTGAAGGTGCAACTTTCCCCCAAAGTAAGGGCATTTGTGTACAACATATTAGACCCTTTTAAATTTGATAATACATTACAGAAATATATCCAAGGTAAACATGTACCACTTTGTTGTGAATTTAAATGTAGATGATTAATGATTATTGCTCACCAATATTTTGCCTTTTGTTTACCCCCTTTCCTGGACTCTGGGGAAAGTACAGTTGTGTTGGCAGGTTCATGTGACTAATAATGGCTGGTGGACTGTGAATGGTGTGCAGTAGCATTTCTAAGCTGATGAAGTAACAAGTCCTTTGCTACTTCCCATGCCTTCCACTCCCCAATTCCCTGTGAGGCAAGACTCATCCGCTGGTAGAATAAAACCCTTACCACCTCATGCTGAATGAATTCTTGACCAAGAAACATGCATTTTTCTGTTTCAAGTAAGATTTTGTGGTTCATTTGTTACTGCGGTCTAACTTATCCTGGTTAAGAAATAGTACTTTTTTTTAATTTAAATTTTATTGTAAAGGTGACGTCCAGTGGGGTTACAGTTATTAAGTCAAGTACATTTCTTTTTGAGCAGTGTCACCCCCTCCTTGATTTTCTCCCAGTTTTTCCCCTGCTGACCCCTCCCCCTAACTTGTATAGTTCATTTCCAACATAGTGTCTAGTGAATGGCACTGCTGAATTGCTGAATTGGTTCACCCTTTTTCCCATTTTCTGTGCTTCTCCTTGCCCACACAACAAAGGGTACAGAAATAAAAAACAGTGACAAAAGGGAATAAACCAAAAGAAAAGAAAATAGTATGACAAAAAAAAAAACTTGTTTCCATTTCTATACTTTCCAAGCTCTTTGTTGATGTCAGGTTTCATGGTGTTTATCTCCTTATTAATTTCACCTTCCATTTCCTACATGAGGCATGTAAAGTTTCTTTTTGTTGATGTCATCTTGAATGTTCTGTATTTTTTCTTCACTTTCCCTATGTTCTTCTATTTGTTTGTGGAACTGCCCTTTTATTTCATCGGCCAATTTTCTCATCATTGCTTGACTGGTGCTTTTGTTTTCCTTCTCTGCTTTACACTCACTCCAGTCCTCCCTGGAGTTGTTGGTTTTTGAGAGTGGCAGGTTGTCTTCATTGTTTATGAATTTTGTGGTCTTTTTTCTATACATCAACATAAAGTGGCATGTAGGCATTGCTTCTTTGTGTGATCTTCTGCTGTGATGTATGCATCTGGGTTCAGGGTCGTAGGTATTAGGCATTAGGTAGGTATTAGGTGGAAAGGCTTTTGTGCCTTGATAGGCATGAACCATGGCGCTGGAGGGGGGGGGGGGGGACGAGGGCTGTCAGCAGCACCCCACACTAGTCTGGATCAGAGGGGCTTCTGGGGCCGGCTCTGCTGTGGGTGAGGGCGTCCCATGCATCAAAGCAACTGATGGATTTTGGGGGTCAGCTTGGCCCAGACCCTAGGCGCTATGGGCAGGGGCATCCCACATAGGGACACCCCAGAAGGCTTTTTGAGGCTGCCTGGGTGCAACCCTAGACGTGGTGGGCCGGGACTTATATGC